AGATGGAGAAAGAGCGGTGGCACATTTGATTGATACAGCGTAATATAATATTATGAATGTTTGAAATTAGCATAATTAATTCATGGAATTTTTAGATGAATAATTCATGAAAATGAGTTGGTAGTTTTTCTGAATATATTTGTAAGTTTATACAAAGAACTTCACATGTAATTCAATCAATCAGAAAAGTTAAAATGAATAAAACAATCCCTAGACTGAATAACTCTAGGATTAAACTTTTCTGATAAAGTAAAATACAGACCAGCTAAAATTTATCGTGTAAAGCTGCATACAGAATCCTTCGGATTGGAAGGTCTATTGAACTACAATAATAAGAATAGGGAGGCTGGCGTGCAGGTCATCGCAAAGCAGTCTTGGCACAACACAACACAACAGAACACGGCCCATGTGCATGTTAATGAAGGCACAGTCTCTTCAGAAACAAGCAGGAGGTTCTCCTCGATACTACACTTTTTTTAAAATATGAAATGGTAAAATTGCCCAGGCTTAGTGCTCTAATTTTTTTTTTTTTTTTTACAAATTTCAGGCTCAAAATTGTCTTGTGTTCTTAATATTTTTAAACACTTTTCAAACTAGTAAATTATTATTGTACATTATACATTACATATTATGATACTGCACTTTATTAAACTGTAGAGGGTGTCACATAGCCACGCCTATTGCAAATAAGTTACAGAGAAGTTTTGTTGGTTTTCTTTCTTTTTTTTTTTTTTATAAAAAAGCTCATTTTGAAATTTTTTTCTCAGCCAAAATTTGTACTTATTTTGTTAATTTTTAAGCATTTTCAGCCTCAGTGTTATAAAAAAAAAAGTGTACCAGGGTGGTTTGCAACTGCTGTGGTCCCCAAAGGCCTATCCCAAGCTTTTTACATGAATAAGGTGCTGTCTAAAACCCAAGAAATGAATTTAGCATGTGATTTTGAGCGCTAAATTTTACGGTACTACATACACACATACTGTACTGTACAATACAGTGTGACATAATGTGCATTATGGCAGCTGCATATTTGTGTGTAACGTGTGTAGGTTTTAGGTGTGAACCATGTGTGCAGTGCAGCTGTAGAAAATGCTGGGACCATTTCATCTAGGTGTGAATGAGCTGCAATAATGTGATATAACTAACAGTACTGAATGCTTTATAAACAATTCATCAGTCAATACATTATTATTTAAAAATATAATACTCTGGACTTGATGCATGGTCAGCAAGTACCATATCTGTAATTTAAAAAAATTGAAATCCAGGTCCTTATACAGTGGGTTTAAAGAAATGTCAAAATGGTAAAAGTAAATTATATTTAAGTACATTAAAATTAAAAGAACATTTATGTAAAAATATTTTTTTTGTACAGGACTTTATGTTATGAGTCTCGTTTATAGTATTTTTTTTAGATTGAGCTTTATAAGTCTGCAGTTTTATTTGAAGTTTTCCTTCATCTTGTTACCAATATTTTCAATCGTTCTTCAATCCTTCAACACAAAAGCTAAACCTAAAACTAAAATGGAGACTCATGTCACAACGAAAATTTTTAGGTCCCAAGGGTGACTTTTTGGAGTTTAAGGGCAAACTGTACTGTACACAGTCTCTATGCACCTTATAAAGTATGGTTTGGTTATCTTTGCCTTAGAAAAATGAAAAAAGAAAGAAAAAGTACTAATGTGCACCTGATGACAAATGACTCAGTGAATTTATAAATTATTATTAATCACTCGTTAAATCATCCACTATGTTTTACCTCCCTAGTATAAACACTTTAACATGCTTCAGTCTGACCTATCTATAGTAAATGTCTGATAAATCATTAGGGTTGTTATCAGGAGGCCATTAGTAATGATAATTACTGGTCAATTTGGCATTCCTTGTTGATGACTTCACTGTTAATTCTCTAGCATTAATGGCAATACAGTACCGCATATATAATTATTTCTTTCATTTTTGGAGAAGATTCTGTAT